CTTATTTCGGTATTTAATTAAAGAATCTAAAATAAAGATGATTTTCTCTAAATTCGGCAAAACACTTGTCGTCAGCGCCACCTATTGAACTGGTCGATAAAAAAATCGATTTTGCAAAATTTAAATTTATTTTATTTTCCCTATAACTTTTGAAATTTGTCTCATATGAAAGGTTTAATTTCATACTATCTTATTTTTTAGTTTTTAAATATGAAATGTAGTATTAAAGGTAATATTTGTATTATAACAATTCTTTGCTGGTCATATTAAAGTAGATTATTTACATTTTTTTGAAATGCCATTACATTTTCAAATATTATACGCTTGAAAAAAAAAACTGATTCAATTAATGCTAACTTATAGATGGCGCTGATAACGTTTTTTTTTTTTATTAAAATTACATACCTCATTTATTTTTATTATAACTTTTTCGTATTATTAATATGTTAACCTTACCAAACCTACTTTAAATCCGAAGATGGTATCTCTATAGGTTGACTTCTACGCAGATGGTCAACACTTTGATAAAAACATATATCTTTTATACAACGAATAATAAAACCTGTGTACCATACCGTAGATTTCCGCAATCCATATGCTGAGGGTATATATTTGACGGCAAACCGACTGATACTTTTTTGGCATGTTTTTATTAAAAATGTTAAATTTATTTTCTATTGAATACTACTACATGAAATTAATTGCATGCGTTTTTCAATGAGAAAAACTTAATAGCTTACACTGGGACGAACGTTTTTAGTTTATAGTTTACACTGGAACGAAGGTTTTTAGTTTATTTTACTAATAGCGACCAATTGCGGCACCTCGTTTTCAATTTTAACTTTGTTGTATTATTTTACACATTTGTTTGAGGAAAAAACACATGGGAAAATTTTTAAAAATATTTTATAATGTGTTTTCTCATAATTTGTTAACTAACCCTTCAGGTGGCGGCGATGTCATTTCCATTTTGAAATATTTTGCACACAAAATTATTCTAAAATATATTGTTTTTATATTCCGCTAGCCAACATGTCAAGTTGGAGTTCACCAGTAAACTGATTTGTTGCTTGATTTATTTTTTGTTTGTATTTGATATTGATAATTATTTCCCTTTACTACTATCGACTAGTATTCAGTATGTGTTAAAGCCGAAAATAATAACATAGCGTGCATTCGATGTAGACAGACTAACTCGGTGACTAAAAAGTTAAACACACAACTAACTCATCCTTAACATGGGTTTTATATACCAAAAACAAAAACTGTTAACAAATATTTAAACAAATTTTTACGTATTATAGGTGGGCGAACACTATTCTACAGGTCTGTCTAAATATATTGGACTAAATGGTGTATATTTTATATAAATCTATTAATTGTATTTTGATGTTATAAGTGCTTTAAAAACTACAATTATAGTTTTAGAAACATTGAATGCCATTGTATTTTGTCTAAAACTCAAAAGTCTTGTTAGTTGTTTGGTTTAAACTCGTTCACTATTTTATAACTCCACGTGGAGAAGGATCTTGTTGGACCAATTGATCAAAACCCCTATCAAATCAACTTAAAGACGTTCAGTATATTAACACACATTTACAAATCAGGAACAGTTAATATTAATATATGTATGTCTCATTTGAAGACATCAATCAATCAATAATTTCCTTATTTTTAGTATTTTGTATTTATGTGTAGTTAGCCAAACACAAATTTCACTAATATAACACCTACTTTATTTTTTGAACTGCGCAGTAACGTTATGCTGCTACCGCACTCATCGAATTCTAGCCTTAGTCACACATAACACCATGCCCATGAAGAATACAATTGACCACCTTCATACAAACAAACAATAAAAGGATAATGACCGGCTTCATGGAAATACCTCAAATATTCCAAGTCATCAAACTATTTTTAGATGAGTCACATAATTCATTTCGTGTGTACCGCGGAAATGGAAAGGACAATTAAAAAGTATAGAAAACTTAGTTCTGTTATTATAAAAAAAAGGAAATGAGTGAAAAGGGCATACGTTTTTCTGCCCTCCACCATGAGGTTAATATTCAAAAAACTTAGAATAGGTCAGGATTTGTATATGCGTGCTATTGCACGGTAAATTGCTGGCTGGAGAAATACTAAAAACCAAATTTAGTTACTAATGTAGGGAAATTATTCTAAGACCTCGACATTGGTCTATTGAAAATATTCGGTGAAGAAGTTAATAATCTACCAGGGTCCCGGAAAGTACAGCCACATAGTTATACTAAGAGATAGTCACTTCGGTTAAATACGAATATATGTGAATATGTACATCCTAGAAATGTGAGAACTTTATTCTGAAAGAATTAAGATTTTTTTAAAAAATTTTTTCCTTTGGCCATACAAGGCGTAGATTTTTTAATTATTTTCTTCCTGGGACCATATAAAGCGTAGATTTTTAATTTATTTTTTTTCCTAGGACCATACAAAGCGTAGGTTTTTTTAAATACATTTTTCCTCCGATCGTACAAGGCGTTGATTTTTTAAATAATTTTTTCCTGGGACCATACAAAGGCGTACATTTTTTAAATATATTTTGTTTCCTGGGACCATACAAGGCGTAGATACTGGGACCTGGGACCATACAAGGCGTCGATTTTTTTAATAATTTTTTTTCCTGGGACCATACAAGGCATAGATACTGGGACCTGGGACCATACAAGGCGTCGATTTTTTTAATAATTTTTTTTCCTGGGACCATACAAGGCATAGATACTGGGACCTGGGACCATACAAGGCGTCGATTTTTTTAATAATTTTTTCCTGGCACAATTTTTTCACTTCAAATAAAACAAATGACAATTTAAAATTTTTTCAAACATTTTATTATTTTTTTTGTATTTTTCGACATTTTTTCTCATTTTTTGTTTGTTTTTGAAATATTTACTTTTGTTTTTTGTTTATAATTAAATATAAGTCTTACTTTCAAGTACAATCATTAATAATAATTTATAATTCCTAAATTAAAAAAAAAAAATGGATGAGAAAAAAACCTAATCGTAGAACATATTATTATAAATTAAAAAAAATATATGTATATTATAAAAATTAAAAAGTGAAAAAAGAGAATTGGGCCAGGGTATCTAGAATGAACGGGGAGATATTAAGGGGGAGAACGGAAAACAGATGTTTAAAATAAACTAAGTGAAATCAACAGTAGCATTTAACAAGATATTTGTAATCGTAATTATCGTTATTATTATTGAATTTTTGTTACATTATGTTCATATACACAAAATGTTTTTGTTGTTGTTGGTTATTTACCAAATAATCGAATGGTTCACAAATTATTGATTTTGTTGTTTTATTATACAATACGTTTTCTTTTTTGGATTTACATGTATGTAGGTGGTGGTGTTGTTTTCTTTTTTATAAAATAAAAAATAAATTTTGTTTATTCCATGAAAAAAAGATTTAAGAAATACTATCATGGAATATATTTGAAAGATCGCCATTGAGAGGGGGTAGATTGAAATTAATTTATAAATAAAACAAATTGTAACAAAATTTAAAAACCAAATATAAATTTGATTTGCAGGGCATATATACCATTTTGTTTGCTTGAGCCACGAGCCTTTTTTTCCATTAAGTATTTTGCGGAACATAACATTGTGTATTTTGATTGTGAAACTTTTTGAAAATTATATTAAATATTTTTACTTATGACGATTTTACAAATGTAATTCCATGAGTGTGTTTCTTGGTGTTTACATTGTGTTCATTTTTTGTTTTACTCTTTTTTTGTAAAAATATGTATTTATGTCATTTTCAAAATAGTGGGTTCGTTCTTTTTTTACACTTGCTTTTGTTTATGACAACAAAATAACACAATCCAAATATAAGTAGGAGCAATGTTTACTATACCGTTTTTATATTGGTAAGTAATTGATGATATACCTTGTGACTGATATCAACTCAAAACCATTATTTTAATTTCCAGTGTTTAATAGAAAAATGTAATGCAAAACTAATTTTAAAATTTCATTGAAAATATCCCACAACAAAAAAAAACTCATCTACTCAAATCTTGATTTTTCAACATAACCTTGTCTATCTATATTGGATTGTATTATTTTGTTATTTTCTTTTTTTGTTTTTTTTTGGTATATTTTTTCGTCATTTTTTGTTGGTTTTAATTTACAGCGCATTTTTGTCTGTGTGTGTGTTTTTGTATAAAAATAAATACCAAAAATTACGGACCAACAAATGTCATTTTAAAATTTGTTTCTTAAAAATGTTCTTTTGTTTGCTTTTACAACTGTTGCTGCTCTGATTCCAGTCAGTTTCCTTTCTGCACTTGAGTGTGAGGACAAGTAGGAGCGGTAAAGAGGATAGGGAGGAGAATTTGTGGACATAATATGGGTTTTCTGTGTAGACCTCACATACATATCTGCTGCGTAATCAAACTGTTAAAGTTTTGCTGTTTTTTTTCTTATAACATTTCACGGCTTTTCTCAAAAAGAAAGTTCTCTTTTTCCACTTGTTTTTTTTTTTATGTAAAAATATAGTTGTTGTTTTTTGTTTATTTTTCTTTTTCAATTTTTATAACAATATTTTTCAAAGATATTTTTTCAATTTTTTTTCTGGTTTAAAGAGATTTCCATTTTTTTCTTGTTTTTCATTTTTTGTTTTCTTTATTTTTTGGATATCTGTTTTTTTTTCTTTTACTTAATTTCGTTTCGTTCGTATGTTTAATTGGTTTGTTTTTGTGTGTGATTTTTATTATTATTTAACTAATTATGCCTTTTGAATGAATTGTTGTTGTTGTATTATTATGTGTTTCATTTCAAATTAAAATGTAAAAAAAACTTTTAAGCTTAACAATTAATTATAGTTTGTAGTTGTAACATTTTCGTTGGGGAAGGGTTTTTTCTCTTAATAATTTTGTTGTGGTTTCTTTGTAAAGTTGATGATGCAAATGATAAAAGTTTTTGTTTTTGATAAAAGGGATAAAAGTATCAGTAGTGCCAATGACATGGTGATAGTCTAGTTTTTTTTTGTTTTGTTTGGAAAGTAGAAAAAGAGAGAAAAAGAATATGAAGTTAAATTATTTTATAAATATAATATAGTAGACTTATAAAATACAAGAGGTCATGTATAGAAAATTATACATATCGAAATATTCGATTCTAAAATAATAATAAAAAAATGAACATTTGGAAGTATTTATATGTTTACCTATCATTATGAGGCAGCGCCAGCCAGCAATTCAGAAAATGCCTTGTCTAAACAATTTTTGAGCTCAGCATAAGTAACAATTAGAACTGATTGTTCATCACGGGACATGAGTTGAACCTGAAAGGAAAACAGCAAATAATAAAACTGATTGATGGAATGAAATGGATGAAAATAAAAATATATATTAATACAGTGCAAATGTTGGTGTTTTCGCTTCTGATCAAAACAATCCACGAACTGATGATAATTTGGAAACACTGCTATTTTAATACCTTATCAAAATACAGGTGTTATGCCAATAGGTCTTTCAAGTAAATCCCTATTTGTAGAGTTGGAAATGATCGTCCCCGCGTTTTTTCCGATTTTAGATAACTTTTTCCTCAAATTAAGGTCAATTTCGAAAATTGAGAATATCAGCCATCTTCCCCAAAATGGATCAATCAATTTGTTCCAACAATTGTAAACATTATAGCTTCTATTAAATTCTTGTTTGGAACATTCCTTCACATACCTCTATAAAGAAGAGTAAACTTCTTTAAAATGTACATATCTCATCCGATATCCGATTTTATCCATATATTGCTTACAGTTATATTTTTACCAATAATTACAATATCAACAGCGGACAATTTTATGTAAGGATACTTCTTTATATCTACATTGAAATATGGGCACTTCCGCAGTCACTTACACGACTTTCAGAGGCAAAATCAAATTTTAAATCTTAAATAAATCGAAAACAATTACATTTTTTACAATTCTCCCTTAATACTTTTTTGTAGAACTTTAGGAGTACTATCAGTGGTAAAAAAATGGAGAGCCTCTAGTTTTTAACTTTTGACATAAAATCCACAAAAAGCGGTTACTAACGCGACTTCAAATATACATGACTTTAGACATCACTACTAATAATGGGAAAACTCTGCGAATTGTGTGAATATTTTAAACTTTTAATATTCTTTACATGAATAAGAGATACCAACCATTATTATTGGACTTTCAAAATTTCAAAATATGGCATATCCTTTATTTGCGAAGGATTTTTCTCGGTCACTCACGCGGCGTAACTCAAGCGACATTCTTGATTTTGAAGATTTTATTTCTGTAGTGTCTGCATTTTTAGCCTATAAAATAGTATTTATGCTAAGAACAAGAAGAAAAAATGACAAATGTGGTCTTTCTTTGTATTTTTTGCTTTTACTTTACGTATTTAAGCACAATTAATGAAACAAATTCTTCGACTTTGGTTTACCTGTTTGAGGAAGTGCCCATATGTTTGCAAGGAGAAGATAAATCGAAATGCCAATTAACAGTTATTTCTGTTGGAAAATATTATTATTCTAAAACAGGGCTTGATTTTAATGCCCAATATCGTAAAATACATATGAATGCTTATGAAATTTTCTAATCTGGTCATAAATAGTGCGACTTGATATTTAGCGATTCAGTTTCTGATTCAAACTTAAATGTTTATGTTCACATAAATATAAATTTGAATATCCCTAATTATTATTACGATTATCATCAGTTTCTACTTACTCTTTCTAATGAGCCAGCATCAAGTTTATTTAAACATTGTACAATATGTGCGTGATCCAACCATGGCCGACCATCTTCAGTGACGGAATGAAACAAATAATCACGGAATAATTTCAGCATATATCTATCACCAATTTCAGACCATGTACAATCTAAGTTGAAGCTGCAATTAAAAAGAAAAAATATACAAATTTGTCTCATCGCAAATTTCCATTGGCTTGGACTTACTCTGGTCTCTCGTTAATACAATTCAATTTAACCAATATTCGGTAAAGGCGTCCATTTTCCATTTCCTTGGCAAGTTCGTCCTCTTGCATATCGCATTGAGCCTGCAAGGCATCCAATTGTGTATAAAAACGTGCACCAATCATTGGCATTAAATCAGTGACCGATCGTCTTTGTGTCGTTGTAAATAGATAACTGAAAGAGGGTAAATGAAATCAGTAAATATGCTATGAAATAAAAATATATATTATATTAAATCGGACGAAAAAAAGGGAGCTATATCTAAATCTGAACCGATTTTCACGAAACTTGTCACACGTCATTCTAGACCTAATTCAATACGCTGTGCGAAATTTCTTGCAAATCGAAAGATATAAAGGGACTTTAATGCACCATTTACATTAAATCGTACGAACATATATATGGGAGCTATATCTAAATCTGAACTGACTTTCACGAAACTTAACACACATCATTCCAGACCTAAATTTCGTGCAAATCGAAAGATATATATGGACATTGGTGCACCTTTTATATTAAATCGGACGAACAAAATGGGAGCTACATATAAAACTGAACCGATTTTCACGAAAATTAACACATATCTTTCCAGACCTAATTCAATATGCTGTGCGATATTTCGTGCAAATCGAAAGGTATATAGGGACTTTGGTGCACCATTTACCTTAAATCGGACGAAAATATATATGGGAGCTATACCTAAATCTCAACCGATTTTTCCCAATTTCAATAGGGTTCGTCCTTGGGCCAAATAAATGAGCTGTGCCAAATTTCATCCAAATCGAATGATAAATGCTACCTGTACTTTGTTTACAATTTAATATCGACAGAAGGACGGACATGCATAAATCCGCAAAAAACGTTATTCTATACATTTTCTCAAAAGGAACTATGGGTCTACCTCGCTTCCTTTTTCCTGTTACAAACATATGCACAGAGACATAATATTGTACTCTGTTTACAATTTAACATCAACAGAAGGACGGACGGACATGCAATAAATCGACTCAGAAAGTTATTCTATACATTTTCTCAAAAGGAACCATGGGTCTACCTAGTTTCTTTTGCCTGTTACAAACATATGCACAGAGACATAATATCCTGTGAAGGGTATAAAAAATTCTCTTCGGCCGACTCCGAAAATCGGTAAAGTTTTAAAATTTGCTGACATTTTTTCATTCGCGTAAATTGCCACATTGCAAATATTGATATTTATGTGAGGGGTGTGTTCACAAATACAGTCCATTTTAGGAAATCATTCCAACAGGCATTCTGGTGGATAAAACACGTTTAAATAAAGGTCTGTGTTTTGGTATATCCTTATAAGGTGCTGCACCATTTTCAAACCAAAGTGGTTGTAATTTGGCAGACCGGTTTATTGGTGGATGAACAAATTTTCTGCAGTACATTTTCAATATAAATCCACATATTGCCATATCCCAATTTTCCGCAGGTTTAAAATCCTTGTGGCCTTTTTCTAATCTATGTGCTTTTAATATTTCGTTTCCCCAGAGGTTAAAAATAAGATCAACAGGTCCCATATAAACGTCCCTACCGATTGTTGTTACTTTGAATGGACAAAACGTTTTGTCTCCTTGATAACAAAAGACGAACATGGGGTCGTCTTAGAATTATAAACCTTATATAGTGTCAGCCCAGTAAATGCAAATAATTTTTTTTACAATTTTTTCGTCCTTCAAACTTACACAATAAAATTTCTCAAATCGGAGGAGTAATGACGTGAGACCATTTCAATGCTTGATTGTACATTGTCACGTTGTACCGATTGCAGGCATCTGCAAGCCAATGCTAATACTAGACGACCCAATGCCGTCAGATCCTCCTAAAAAATACAAAATAACACAATTTGTTTAATTTTATAAGAATTATTAAAATATTTTTATGTTAATGTACCTGTTGCTGCATGCTAACAACGGCCAGGGGATTTGCAACATTGGGATCAAACTGTGCGATATCACTTGTGCCACTAAAACTAAAACGTATACGTTTGCCGGTGACAATAATTTTCGTTGGATCCAAACTTCTGAAATGCGATAGATGATAAGAGAAATTAATAAACAACTTTAATAAATCTAAATATTTTAAATAAAAATAATTGAAATATAAAATCAAATAAATTTTGTCATGAAAATTTAGAAAAAAATAATAATGATGATCGGTTTTTTTCGGAAGACCGACATTGATCTAAATTAGTCTTATATATAAATAAACCTTATATCATTTTTTTCACTTCTATGAAACCTGATGCCACATTAAAAGACGACATTTTACATATTGCTGAAAAGATATATTTTTCTTCACTCACCTGCAGGCTAAACCGGCTTGATGAATTGCACGTAGACCAGCGGTTAATTGCATAATTATTGCCCATATTGTTGCCTCAGGCAATAGTGGACCATTGCCCGTTGTACGTTGTAAATTGCTCTTATGACTGTTGAAGTGTTAACATAAATTTAAGTATAATTTTGTTTTTAAATGTCAAATTGCTACAGTGATATACCTGAAGGGGCGCGCTTCACCCTGGAATGGATCATTATAGCCATTACTTTCTGGCGGTGGTGTGAAATATTTCGCTAATAACGTCTGTGAGTTTGGATGATAGTCGTAAACTAATACTAATGCTGTGTTGTTGAAAACAAAGAAAGAAATATATATTTAAGGTTAGAAAAGATACTAGGTGTCTAGAGAATTCTACACTTACAGTTATCACCAAATGCTTTTGTTGTGAAGACTTCACGTAATTGTACCACATTTGAATGTTGCAACTTTTTCCACATTTCCACAACGGTCATACATTTTGTCGATTGCAGGCGGAAACCTGAAATGAAATAAGAACCAAATATATTAAGATATTAATTATAACAGATATTTATAAAAATGATATCAAATAATTTTGAAATGCCTAGGATCTCAAAGTACTTAAAATAAGGAGGGCTATGGGAGCCATGCCAAAATATGATTCCATATTTTATGTCCTGGAAATCGAACTGTTTGTGATAGGTCTGGTAAACATAATTTTAAAAAAATCCACACTTGCGATAGGCCTTAAAAACTTTTTTGAAGAATTTAGGCATGTGATAGAACATTTTCAAAGAAATCCAAGTATGTGGTAGCCATTTACTAAATATTAAACATGTAAAAAAGTGTCAGTCGGTGTTACCGACACATGTATACCCCTAGCCTATGGTTTGTTGAAGTCTAATGAAATACCACACACTAGTTTAATTATTCGCTTTATATAAGTTATATGTTTTTATTAAATAGTTGACCATCTGTAGAGATATCAGAAGGAGAGTATCGATGGGTCCCATCTTCGACCATGATGTAGCTTTGATAAAAGTATTACGATTTGTAAAGTTGGGTCAAATCGGGAATTCCATATGTATGATATTGAATTAACAAATTTTCAAAATGTTTACACTTTGTGGGGGAGGTACCGGAAGGAGTGGATCGATGGGTCCCATCTTCGGACTTGATCTAGTTAAGGTAAAAATATCATGATGTGCAATGCTTGTAACAAACGTTATATTCCATTCGACGTAGGGGGCCCTGGCCCCTCTGGCTACGTCGTTGGAATATTACGATGTGCAAAGTTTGGATGAAATCGATTATTCCCTTGTTTGAAACGGATTTGGTCCTAAGAAACATGGGGTATAAAACCAATATTTCAATAAGGCACCACTTTTTGCCGTATCAAAGTCATAAGGCTGAGGGTATAAAATACCGAAGCCTGTGGCTATGCTTCAAAATATTTTAAAATAAGTAGGTCTGTTATAGATCTAAACCTTGAAAAATAGTCCTTGGAAATATATTCTTCAAAAATCTGGCTTTTGTAGGCCTTAAGGTTTTTATAGGAATCCCCACTTGTGATTGGCCTTGTATAATACATATACACTTCTGATATGGTATATATATACAAAAATATATGTGTGTGCAATGTATCTAAAGAAACATATTTTTCAGGTCGGTTTAACTCATTTAGCTCTGTAATACTCTAGGAGCTAAGGAGCTCTGTAATACTCTAGGAGAAGGAGCTAATCTAAAATTCCTATTGAAAATGTTTATGGAGAACATCAAATGCCCAATTCCATGATATGGGAAGATATTGGGCAGGTTTGTCAATTTTCTTGTAATTGTCTAAGTACAGTATTTAGTTCTTCTAATATTCATATTCCTTCAAAAATCGAACACTCACCATGTAATCTCCTCAGACAATATTTAATACCCGTTGTACTGTGTGTTGCCTTATACGTTGACGAGGGCAGAGTTAACTTGGCATGCAATGGCTGTACGGGTAACGCTTCCAACGGATACAGCGAATGATAATTATCAACTTCCAATGGCAGGGCATGTTGCGCCGTTTCGCTGGCATCCAACATTAAATTCGAGATCACATTACGCGATAAAATCTCGCTACGCATTTCATCGGGCATAAAGAACGCTGATTCCAATTGGGTTTTCGGTTGCATTGTTATGACATTTGAGGCAGGACCGGGATAGACATGACCTGTGTACAATAATGACGGTTGGACGGGTGTTAGGGAGGCGCCACCCGTCTGGCCAGTGTGATGTGATGAGACCGCATCAACGACACCGCCGGCTCCAATACCGACAGCAGTGGAACTTTGGGCGGTTGTGTGATTGGCAGTTGGATAAAAGTAGACGGTGCCACCAACATTTTCCTGAAAGGAAGCGGAATTAAATTAGTTTTTATTCGACTTTTGGGTGATTTAACTCGAACTCACCTGATGTACACTGGCGGGCAATGTTGTGGGTATGGGCGATGCATGCGGTGTTATGCGCGGCGGTGATTTTTCACCTATACTGGAGGGTGAATCATTGCGCCGCAAACTGTTGCGTCCACCTTTCAATGGCGTTGTGGTTGTCATGCCTACGTATCCCTGATTGGCGGCGTTCGGTGGTCCAATTTGTTGTGAGCCACCGTTGATCAGACTATGTTGTGGCTGTTGTTGTTGCTGCTGCTGTTGTTGGAGGTGCGATTGCTGTTGTTGCTGGTGCTTTTGTTGCAGTTGTTTTTGTTGTTGTGCCACGGCAGCGGCTGTAGCTTTTTGTATACCCAGCATAGACGGTGTTCCATTAACCGATTTGTTGCCTGAACCACTTGTGGGTGTTAGACCATTCACTGCTGCATTGGCGACACCACCATTGAGACCATTACTTAACATGGGCGTATTATGATACGGCGAATAGAAATTTGGCGATGAATTGATACGTGTTGGAATGAATTCAGGTGATTGTTGTGTTACCTGTATGTGAGAATTCATTTTTGGAGAGGGGAGTAGAAGAAAATGGGAACACAAAGTTATTTATTAATTGTTAGGTTTAGATGAAGGAGGAGGGGTGGATAACAGTAACACATTCAACAAAATATACAATTTGCAAAACATATAAACAAATAAAACATTTCATTGTATATATGCCGTTGCAAACTAAATAGCATAGCTCTGGTAAGTCCTTGGAAGAAGTATATCAAATTTTTTTTATATTCAGAAATTATTGAAAAAAGAACAAAAAATAATCCTTGAAAATTCTTGGGTTTCACAACTTTTGCAGCCAATGAAAGATATAAAAAAAACAAGCTTTTGGTATCCCTTGAAAAATGTTTAAAAAATTATAATTAATCTAAGCTCGTGGTATTCTTTGTAGTATTCGTTTAAAAAATATTAAAAAAATCAACATTTGGGGCAGATATTTTTTTTACATATTTATTTTTTTTTTAATTCACATTCCTGATGCTCCTATAAAAATATTGTTTTAAAAATCCACGCTCATATTATTCCTATAAAACATATTTTTTAATCTATGCTCGTTATGTTCCTATAAAAAGTATTTTTTAAGTTCGTGGAGTATTCCTTATTTTTATATCTGGGAGCTATATCAAAATCTGAACCGATTTTCACAAAACTTAGCACTAATCATTCTACACTCAATTCAGTACGCTATACCAAATTTCTTGCAAATCGAAGGATATATAGGGACTTTGGTACACCATTTACATTAAATCGGACGAAAATATATATGGGAGCTATATCTAAATCTGAACCGATTTGCACGAAACTTGGCACACATCATTCTAGACTTATTTCAGTACGCTGTGCTAAATTTCGTGTAAATCGAAAGATATATAGGGACTTTGATACGCAATTTACAATAAATCGGACGAAAATATATATGGGATCTATATCTAAATCTGAACCGATTTTCAGGAAAATTAACACACATCATTCTAAACTTATGTCAGTACGCTATGCCAAATTTCGTGCCAATCGAAACATATATAAGGACTTTGCTGCACCATTTACTTTAAATCGTACGAAAATATATATGGGAGCTATATCTAAATCCGAACCGATTTTCACGAAACTTAGCACACATCATTCTAGACTTAATTCAGTACGCTGTGCTAAATTTCGTGTAAATCGAAAGATATATAGGGACTTTGGTGCACCACTTACATAAAATCGGACGAAAATATATATATGGGAGCTATATCTAAATCTAAACCGACTTTTCCCAATTTCAATAGGGTTCGTCCTTGGGCCAAATAAATGAGCTGTGCCAAATTTCATTCAATTCGGATCGACCTCTTCTTCAAGTTAACACCAACAGACGAACAGGTGGACGGACGGATATGCATAAATCGACTCAGAAAGTTATTCTATGCATATTCTCAAAAGTAACCATGTGTCTATCTCGTTTCCTTTTGCCTGTTACAAATATATTCACAAAGACATAATACCCTGTACCACAGTGAGGTGGTGAAAAAAAACAATTGAAAAAAATTGCAATCCCAAAACTTTTAAATATAAAAAACGAACATACATATGATGAACGAAAGGAATGTGCTCGGTAATGTACATTTTTTAAATGATTCCATGCTCTACATATAGCTATGTTGAGGCCAATTGTATGAAGTAAAATTGTCATCCTTCCTCATTTGTGCCAAAAAAACGAGCCTAATTATATTTACAAACTAACTTCGGAACACATTCTAAACTAAAAAAACAAGCACAATGAACGGTCACAAACACATATACATTTTTTATTGCTATAGAATATACACATGTTGATATTGTTGTTACTATTATTGTTAACTATGTATGTCAACTATTATTACAAGCTAATAAACTATACAAACTATGCAGAAAACAGATTCCTATGTACATAATAATGTATAGTTTACCTGCGCCTTTTTAATCGATAGCGGTGAATCCAGGTTAAGCAAGGAAAATCCCGCATTCATACCATATGTTGGCGTTGCAACATTTTGTCGATTCTATTTTTTTGTTTGTTTTCAAGATTATTTGTAATTATATTTTCCAAGAAAAAAAACAATATTTAAATTTAAAATATATATAAATAAAAAATTTATTATAAAAATATTAATAATATTGCAGAAGGACAAAAGTGGATAATATAAACATGAATAGAACATTTAAATGTTGCCACTCTACACCTAGGGAAGGAAAGGGGGTTGGGATGTATTTGATTCAAATGGCGAAAAAATCTAATTTTCAGATTTTTTACGATAAGAGGTGCAACATGGGCGTTGTGTATACAATTAGACCTCTGGTTTTTCTACTATAACCCTTGTTTCTCCATTTAGTCTTCTATAGGAGTGCTAGTCGGTGTTGCCTACAGATATATAGTCCCAGCCTATAATTTGCTGAATTACACACAGGCTTTATTAATCACTTTATAAGGTATATGTTGTGGAGAGGTGTCGGAAGAGGTTGTCCTATAAACAGAATGTTGCCTTAAATCTCACACTCTACACTTAGGGAAGGAAAAGGGATTTGGGATGTATTTGATTCAAATGGCGAAAACATTTTTCAAATTTTTTTACGATAAGAGGTGGGCGCATATAAGATGTGCAACATGGGCGTCTATACAACGCCCAATCCTATAGACCCCAATCAGACATTTCATTGGAAATTGAATAGCAATTTTTCATATTTTGTGGGGGAAGTCACAGAAGAGGTGGACGAATGGGCCGCACCTTCGGATGTGCAATGCTTAAAAATTCTGTTCATTTGATAGCGGCTTAAAAATATTCATGTTTTTCATATTTGGGACCCATCGGTCCAAATATTCGGACTTAATTTAGAACATAACACGATGAGCAGAGTTTGTATCAAATCACAAATTTCAAAATGTTAACCCTTTGTGGGAGAAGTACCAGAAGGAGTGGATCTATGGGTCCAATTTTGGAACATTCCAGGTTTGTTAAAATAATACTATTTACAAAGTTTGGATTTAATCCCACATTCAATTCGCTTAATATTTGATAAAAAAAATCAAAATTTCTAGAGAATTACCCGAAGGTACCAGAAGTGGTGGGCCAGAATCCAGGCTTGGTAAAAATATAAATATTTTTCACTTCATATGAGATTTATAAATTTTCAAAATACTGGAGTACGAAGGAGTGGTTCGATAAGCACAATCTTCCAATAGTAGACAAGCTTGGTTAAAATATTGGATTGCAAACTTCGGTTCGCACGATATTATAAACTTAATTTTAAGCAATTTTTTACCATTTTGTAGGGGAGGTATCAGCAGGAGTGGACCGATATTTTCCGTCATTCAACTTGATATAAGTTTGGAAGAAAACTCCATTCGAGAGTTATAGTCGGACAGACATTTGTAAATCGACACCTAAATTGCCTCAATCGGATTTGGTCCAATGGTCAAAGGAAAGCGTATATACCCTCATAAGGCCATAAGGCTGAGGATATAAAAATAAAGGTTATAAAATTAAATTCTATAGAAAAACTATACAAGATCTTTTATAAAACAAAATCTTCGGATCTTCTATAAACAAAAATGTTTGTATTGAATACCCCCAGCACTTATGTAGAAGATCCTCTGTACTTCTAGTCCTTCTAGTTTCCTCTATAGAAGACATTCTGTCATTAGATACATGAGCCTTTACAACATAAAATCCTCGGATCTTCTATAGACGAAAATTGTCTGGACATTCTGGATATTCTCTGCACTTCTACAATCTATTCTTCGATAGAATACGATCTGCACTTCTGTGGAAAACATTTTGTGTAGAAAAATTTCTGTTTTTCTATAAAATAACTTCTTCTCTAGAAGAGAACTTCCGGCCTTTTTATAGAAATAAGATTTTCAGCACTTGTATAGAAAATATTCGGATCTAGAACAGAAGAATAAAACTATCTGGTATCCTATAGAGGAGATATCCATGCCTTTCAAGGAATTATACACTGAAGTTTTACATTAGAGCCAAGACTTGTGTCGTTTCGTTTTGCTGAAATATCTATTTATGCGTCGGTCGTTAGGACCCTATTTGGAATATTTTCCATTTTCAGCAATTAAAAAAAACTCACTCGTTTCGCGTTTTCAATTCCTATTTCTCGAAAATTCGTTACAGAGGAAGGCCATCTGTTCGTCTTCAATAAAACTGGAACATCAGTTTTTATACCCTACACAACTATGTTGTCAGGATAATATAGCATTGTGCAGCCCCAAGAGTTTGTAACGCCGTGAAATATTGGCCCCAGACCCACCTTTAAGTATACCGATCATATCTCGACTAGCTGAGTCGATCATATCTCGACTAGCTGTGTCGATCTAGACATGTGTGTCCGTCCGTCTGTCCATTATAATTTGTAAACACGATACAGGCCAGAGTTATGGTCCAATCTTCGCGAAATTTTGCATGTAGGATGGATTCTGGCCAATGAAGACCCCTATTGATTTTTTGGTAAATATCGGTTAATATTTAGGGGATGAAGTTGACCAAAAACATTATTTTTGTCTGATTTTCTGTTCGCTCCAGAGGCCGCAATTATGAATGGAACATCGAACAATTTTACATGGATAAGGGGCCAAAGCATGCCTGTTTTGATAAAAATTACTCCTGAAGGACATAGACCCCAGAAGTTGATAGTGTATCCAGAGGAGTGGTTGACTTTTAAATTGATACCAATTATATGGCTGTATGTACTCGGATGTGGAAGTTGCAATTAAATATGTACAGGATTTCTACGTATTCAGATATTATTTAGTAATCCATTACCACAATAGAGGGCGGTAATATAACTCAGACCGCTTGAAAATGTTCCATGAGGTTCCAGTTATGGTTAAAGACAACACTTATAATTATCGGTGATGATCAGATAATAATTTTGGAATGAAATGGACCAAAAATGAATTTTGTGTATTTTCGAGTCCACAATTATAAGCCGAACATAACAACACAACCCACCGTGAAGGGAATCTAGAAAAGTAATTGGAAGGGCTGTACTGAATATTAGTAATAATCACAAAATATGTCAGTGTAAGGAAGAGCTGCTGGTGAGGGTGCAATTATCACGAAATATTGCCCAGACTCGGAATAAATATCCGCAGAAAGTTAGAGTTCCTTGGTGGTTGTGTAGAGTATTATATGGTCGGCCCCGTCCGGCAATACTGCTCCGTTCACTGGTTTGTAAATAATAATTCTGACATTCTTTAGATAGAATGTAGTGGAGTAATGAAAATAGGCAACTTCGAATAAAATTAGTAAAAACTTTTTTGATATAATTTTAAATAAATCATAGGTTTTATTTAAAATTCCCAGGACAGATAAAGGTATACTTCTATGATAGTTGAATCGTCATAATAACTAAACTAAGTTGCTCATACACATTAATATAAAAAATATATTAAATTTCATTTTATTATCTGAAATCTAAAAAGTAGCAAATTTCCAAAAAAAAAGTATATATAAATAAATTTCATATCTATTTTTAAAATTGTTCATAATTAATTTATATTTATATTTTTCACTCTTTCAACTTACCATATATGTTGCAAGTTTACTTTCTGAAGGTATGACATTTGATGGTGAATAAAAAATTGGATCCATAGCAGCCGTATCTGAAATAGAAAAATATAAAAACAATTAAATCGGGCATAACAAATTATAATAATAATAGGATGCGAATATACTAAAAGTTTGCAGTATTTCCGAATATACACAAATATATGTAAATATGTATGTATGTACGAATATTTAGAGATGCATATTTTTGTAAGCTTTCCACACCACTACGATTTTAAGGGACCACAAATACATTAATAATGCCGACAGGGGTATTAAATTTGTGGTAAATTTTATGATCCCTAGAGTTATGTATTTTATTATTTTAATTTCATAATTAAATGGAATCGCACAACATGTATTTGATTAAATTCGAAATAAATTAAAAATATAATAAACAGTTAAATAGTTTAATAAAAAAAGTTATTAAATAAAACTTTATTTAATTGCAAATCATATCGATATGATTTCTTTCACTTCGCCACCACCTAACTGCCTATCTACCCCATAATTATAAATTCTTTTTATTATAAATTATCAATAATTGTATTTAACCTGTGGCAATAGTTAATGGGCGTTGTTAGCCTAGTTACGTTTGGTTTTAATAAAAAACAAAACAAAAATATAATTGCCAAAGAATATTAATATGAACACGCAATAATAATAATAATAACAAAAAATAATATGAGAAATATTCAATATCGTGGTATTTTTTTTGCTGACACAGTTATTGAACCTGATGATGTGGTGGGACATGGTGCGCAGTTGGTTTTAGGTGGCGTCTAAATAAATTTCCTCACACATGCAACAATTTCAATGCATTGCATTTTGTTTTTATTCTCCATATGGCTGCTACATGTATGTATTTGTTATTTATAAATCATATTAACAAATAAACGCAATATTATTTTTTTTGTATATAAAATATTTTTAAAAATGTATAGCACTTGAGTGTTAATTATAAAAAAAAAACAATATAAATAAAAGGTAGGGATTTCTTTCAAAATGTTTTAAAAGCAATCCAATAAATTGTCTTGAGATTATAATATTGTAATGAGAATCACATAATAATTATATTGTTACAATATTCTTTAAAAATTTAAAAAGTATTTTTTCAAGCATTGTTATACCCTACACAACTATGTTGGTATTATAGCTTTGTGCAGCCTCGAGAGTTTGTAACGCCGCGAAATATTGGTCCTAGACCCACCTCTAAGTATACCGATCGCCATATCTCGACTAGCTGAGTCGATCTAGATATGTGTGTCCATCCGTCTGTCCATTATAATTTGTAAACACGATACAGGCCACATTCATGGAGCAATCTTGACGAAATTTTGCCTGTAGAATGGATTCTGGCCAAAGAAGACCCCTATTGTTTTTGGTAAAGATCGCTTAATATTTAGGAGATGAAATGGCCAAATACTTAATTTTCGTCGGTTTTTCTGGTCGCTCTGGAGGCCGCAGTTATGGTGCGAACATCGTGAAATTTTACATGGAGAAGGGATGCCTGTTTTGATAAAGATCGGCGAATATTTAGCAGTTCAAATGGACCCTGCCTTTTGTGTGAAAAATTACAAAATTTGTATTCTGGGGCGTATATACTTTTTATTTTTGTCAGATTTTCTAGTCGTTCTAGAGGCAACTATTATATGCAGAACATCACATATTTTACAAGGTGAAGGGATCTGACCGAATACTTAGAGCAGTTGTTTAGATGATGATCGGTCAATATTCCAAATCAACCAAAACCTAAAGTGACCAATTTTTTATTTGTATCACTTTATTTCACAAAAAAAAAAAAAAAAATAAAAATGTAAAATATGCCAGGGTTAGAAAGTGGAGTTGTTGATCTATAATCGGTAAAAAGGGTCCAAATATCACGATATATTGCCCAGGCTCAGAATATAGAACCGCAGAAAGTTAGCTTTTCGTGGTAGTTGTGCAGGGTATCATATGGTCGGCTCCGCCCGACTATACTGCTCCACTCACTTTTTTTCACATTAAAATATTCTTATTCCGATTCCTTACACTGACATATTTTCCGAATATTACAAATATTCAGTACAGCCCTTCTAATTACTTGTTCAGATTCCCTTCATCGTGGGTTGTGATGTACGGCTTTCAATTGTGGTCTATAGATCGACTCAAAAAAAAAAAAAAAAATAATAATAATAATAAGTTTTCGGTCCACTTCATCCCAAAATTATTATCTGATCATAACCGAAAATTATAGGCGTAGTCCAACTGAAACCTCAGGGAAATTTTCAAAGCGATCAGCTCTATATTTCCGCCCTCTAGTGTGGTAATAGGTTACTAAATAATATCTGAATACGTAAGCATCTGTAAATATTTAACTCCCACATCCGAGTGCAAACGACAATATAATTTGGTAGCAATTTAAAGGTCAACCACTCCTCTTGGATATACTATCAACTTACCGGGTCTTCGTCCTTCAGGGGTAAATATATACGTTATAGAAATACAAATTTTGTCATTGTTCACACAAAAGTTAGGGTTTATTTGAACGGCTAACTATTGGCCGATCTTTATCAAAACTGGCATGCTTATTTTTTTGGCCCCAACCCCTTCTCCATTTTAAAATTCGCGAAGTTTGGACCATAATTACGGTCTCTGTTGCGACCAGACAAAAATAACGTTTTTGGTCCATCTAGTAATATTAACCGATCTTTACCAAAACCTATAGGGGTCTTCATTGGTCGGAACCCATCCTACATGCAAGATGATGTAGGATGGGTGAAGATTTGTCCATAACTGTGGCCTGTATTGTGTTTACAAATTATAATGGACAGACGGACACACTTGTCTACATCGACTCAGCTAGTCGAGATTTGACGATCGGTATACTTAAAGATGGTTCTAGGTCCAATATTTCGCGGCGTTGCAAACTATTGGGGCTACACAAAGCTATAATACCCTGACAATATAGTTGTGTGAGTTATAAAAAGAATCAAGAATCCCCTCTACATTTTGAAAAAGGCGCATCCGCATTTTTTTACATTGAAAGCAAGCATTTCTAATTTCTATTGTAAAAAAATGTGAATCCGTCTTCTTTGAACGCTTGTTTCTATATGAAGGAGTTACCAGATCGAAACAAAATTTAACATGTGTAACAGGCTAAGCACTTTTCGAACTGATCTCGTATATGGTTTAGCCACTAGAACGAGTATTTTAAACTTTTGTTAAATCTTTTTCCATTTAATTTCCTATTAATATAAATTTTGGGGGTCACGTGGATGTGAGCAAATTTTGTCATAAGATCATCACATTTCGTTCGAGCAAAAAAAAAAAAAAGCCAATTTATGGCATCTATTTGATGTTGAAGGAAGCTTGTGTTTATTATTCTGTTTTTGTTTTTTTTCTCAAGAAATGAAACAAAAATAAAATGATTTTCGAAAGAAATGAAAGTGATTTTGTTTGAGAAGAAAAAAAAAACAAAACCAAATGTTTACATCTTCCCTCAACCCGTCCCTCGGCCTCAGCCTCCCCCATCATCAACAAATAATTGAAAAAAAAAACTTTCTCTGATATTCAAAGTATTCCCCCAAAAAAATGAACTGACAGACACACATACACAACCACTAACAAAAGACTGATATATGGAGATAGCGAATGAGATACAGATGAGAAACCGTTTCATTTCAATGTTAATCAAATGGCCATGATACCAATTTGTTTTTGAGTGAGTGGAACTCTCTATCTCTCAATGAGTGTATATATGTGTGGTGTAAAAATAACAGGAGCAGGGAGGTCGGGTTGGAAATCGTTAGTGTGGGAGAGAGAAACAGCGGAGACTACTTGCAGATAATGACCTTGAAAAATCTTCAAAATAAAAAAAAATTACTTTCATTTTTTTTAATTTTTATAATTTTTTTAAACAACAAGAACAGAGAAACATTTTACTCGTTTTACGTTTTTTTGCGTTATTCCTTTATTTATTTGTTTCTATTAATTATTGCAATATGTATATTTTCAACACAGTAAATAGGTATGCGGGTAATGTGTACAATTGATTAGATTGTTTATCAAGTAAAAAAAATAATATGATTTCTGTTTAACCTCTACTGGGCAAATGTCAAGAAAAAATTAATCCCATACTGAAATTTGTTGTGGTGATAAAAAAAAACAACAACAAAAAAATGCAAAAATAAATAAAAACAATCAGAGATTGATTAAATGTCGGACATTTTAACCTTGAATTTTGTTTTTATTTATTATTTTTTTTTTTTGGTAAGCAATGAAAATATTACGTTATAATTTTCAGATGAAATTTCTTGCGATGAATAATGGGGATATTAGACAAAATAATAAATATACAATTTTATTATGTCTTGGCCATTTCCAAATTACACCTCCACCATGATCAAAATACAGATATTGGTACTTTTGAGTAACAAAATTTGCAACCCACAGCCAATTCCAAAGAGAATTCCAAATATAAAATTAGAGACCATTTGGATAACAAAAATATTTTTTTTAAATTTCGCTGGTCTTTTAAAAGGTTTTTAAGCTTTATATATTGAGGCCTATGCAATGATACATTTTTGATAGGAGGAGAACCAATTGGAATCGTTTCGGTTAAAAAACTCACCGAAAATCCCAAGTAATTAGAGGTATCGTTATATTGGGGTCATCTTTAGAATATGGACCAATATTGATATTTGGTAAAAAGATTGTCTACACAATGTTAATTAATTAATGCCAATTCTCTTGAAAAATGTACCCAAACTGACCAAAATATCAAAATTTGGGAGGTATGGTTATATGGGGCTATCCCAAAAATTGGATAAATTTTCAGTAGGAAGCCTTGCTAAATATTGGCAATTCAAAATACTAAACTGTATCCAATTATCCCGAAACATGGGGACAATATTGATAATTTCAGGTAGAGAGATTTTATATTCAGTGAAAACCCAAAATATCGATTTTGACATAAGCTTGAAACTCTAGTGAGGAAAATACCAGGGTCGGACGGGTCTTAAGATGATGCTCCTTAAATACATCCCTCCACACATGTTAAATATGTATACCCTCA